CAACTCAGTGAAAGTTTATTGAATTAATATGTGAAAATACACATTTTTAAATGTTGGATACGTATAGGGTCCTTTGTAGAAGGGATTTGAAATTGTGAGGATTACAGCCATTTGATCTATCCTGGAAAGTAGATACCTTCCACATACCTTCTGTTATCTTCTAACAATGCATCCTGAGAAATTCTTTCTCCATATTGGACACATCATTTACTCTATCTTGGTTCCAGTCCCTCCTTTGTTACTTTAGAGTAATCCTGAATTTGAGTCAGGTACCAATCTTAAACCTTGGTAAATGAAACTGAGATCTAAATAGCTGACTTTATACTTAACTCCAAAGCAATAAATTCCTTAAGAGCTACAAGGATAGCGTTTGCCTATATATATATATATGTGATGTATAGCTACAAATGGCTGAGCTTTAAGCTTCATCTGTAAATTGAACATTTTCTGTAGCTTCCATATGAATTTTAGATTATTAAGTACTCATGAATTGAATAAAACTGTTAATTCTTCTAGTTTATAATTAGCAAATTATAATTAACGCTCTAAAATAATCCATCTCAAATCCTCACATAGAAAGTAAAATTCAAATAATTTACTCACAGTTTCTTCCATAGAATTCTCAAGAGGATAATAACATTAGTATTGGTTATTTGTTTATTTTCCAGGACATGTAAATGTTAATATTTTTATCTGTAAAAAGTAAAATAATATTTTAAGAGACGTGGATATTCCAGTACCCTCTATTCTGCTTGAAACAGCTCTGTGATAAGGGAGTATTAAGAATAACAAATTCACACAAGCACAAGATAGGAGAGCAGGAATCAAGTTCTTAGATGACTGGCTATCTCTGTGGGAACAATTGGTTCAGCAAGAAGTAGGCCTTTTATCCAGGGAAGACAAAGAAATCATAATTAAGAGAGAAGCAGTTTCAAAGGTGAAGGTGAGGAGTTGCCAGTGTCAGCGAAGGCTCTGTAACTGGAAAATGAATCTTTAGGGTAGAGTTAACAGTAAATTTTAAACTGTTTTAATAATTATAATTATTATTGCACTTTGAAGGGGGTGTCTGAACTCAGTTGTAAAATGTTTGACATTTGTGAATTCTTTTAATGTTATATTTGAAAATGTTTTGGTGCATGCACAAAGTGCTCAACTATGACTCCACATTTTATTGTTAAACCTCACGTGACCCGTCTTTCTGGAGAAGTATGTGTGCGAAGTACAGGTTCAGCCTGCTACACAGGCAGCGTGTATTTGTTTTTGAGAAATCTCAAACTGTTTTTATGAGAGAATTAACCCTCTCAGGGAAACAGTTCTACCAACGACTGCCCCATGGGAGAGGATGTGTGGGGACACCTGCATCCTGCTGTCTGGAAAAAAATTGAGCTGCTAGTGAGACAATGAACCAACAGCCTTGGACTGAGAAGTGAAAAATAAAGAACACCTGCTCCCCTCCACACCGATGCCAATCCAAGCAATTCTGAAGGCATCTTGGAAGCCCTAGAAAAGAAAACCTCAGTGACTCGATTTAGAACCTTGGAAAGTAGAATGGTAACTTTGTGCTTGGCATGTAATAGGCACTTGATACACATTTATTGAAAGAAACAAAGAAAGAGTGAGAGAGAGAAAGAAAGAGAAAGAAAGAGAGAGAGAAAGAAAAAGACAGAGAGAGAGAAAGAAAGACAGAGAGAGAGAGAGAAAGAGAAAGAAAGGAAAGGAAAGGAAGGAAGGAAGGAAGGAAGGAAGGAAGGAAGGAAGGGAGAAAGAAAGAAAGAAAGACACGGAATGAACTTTGTAACATTCTGAAGCACTAAGTGGCATACCAAAAGGTTGGGCTATTTCATTGCTAGAGATAATTAATTACATAACCACTTTTCTTTCTTTCTTTCTTTCTTTCTTTCTTTCTTTCTTTTTTTTTTTGAGACAGAGTCTCATTATGTCATCCAGGCTGCAGTCTGGAACTCCTGGGCTCAAGTGATCCTCTTGCCTCAGCCTCCCAAGTAGCCACGACTAAAGGCATGCACCACCACTCCTGGCTAAATTTTTTTATTTTTTGTAGAGATGGGAGTTTCACTGTGTTGCCCAGGCTGGTCTTGAACCCCTGGCATCAAGCAATCCTTCCACTTCGACCTCCCAAAGTACTGGGATTACAGGTGTGAGCCACCAGGCCTGACCATAATCACTTTTGTAAACAACCAAAAAACCAAAGAGTAACTCCCTAGTCTCTAAGTAAGATAGAAGGAATTTTCGGAAACCAAAGGTAGTTACGTATGTGCTTGTGTGAATTTGTTATTCTTAATTCTCCCTTATCACAGAGCTGTTTCAGGCAGAATAGAGAGTACTAGAATGTGCACATCTCCTAAAATATGATTTTGCTTTTTTTTTAGATGGAGTCTCTGTCGCTAGGCCGGGGTTCAGTGGCGCGATCTTGGTTCACTGCAACCTCTGCTTCCTGGGTTCGAGCGATTCTCCTGCCTCAGCCTCCTGAGTAGCTGGGACTACAGGCACGTGCCACCACACCTGGCTAATTTTTGTACTTTTAGTAGAGACGGGGTTTCACCATGTTGGCCAGGATGGTCTCAATCTCTTGACCTCGGGATCCACCCGCCTCGGCCTCCCAAAGTGCTGGGATTACAGGCGTGAGCCACCATGCCCAGTCCTATGATTTTACTTATTACGAATAAGAATATGAATATTTACATGGCCTGGAAAATAAACAAGAAGCAAGTAACTGCTAATCTAAGCAGATGCTGATGTCTTCCTCAGCATGTAGGTTGTGTACACTGTTGGCTTGACCTTGCAATTCTTTCTGAAAATTTGAAGGCTAGTGGATGTGAAAACCTTTGCTAAGAATTTCCCAAGAACCAAGTAAATGTAATCTCACAGAATGTGAAAACGTTGACAGTATTTGTGCTACTTACTGATACATTTTCAAATGTGCTGACGTTAATCATTCTCAAATAGGTCTTTTTTTCTTCTTCTTTTTTTTTTTTTTTTTTTGAGACGG